GGGTGTAATACTGGTGTATGTAGGGTGTAATACTGGTGTAGTGAGGTTGTGTACACTGGTACTGGTGTAGTGAGTGAGGGTGTAATACTGGTGTAGTGAGGGTGTAATACTGGTGTATGGAGGGTAATACTGGTGTATGAGGGTGTAATACTGGTGTAGTGAGGTGTAATAATACTGGTGTGAGGGTGTAATGGAGGGTGTAATACTGGTGTAGTAGGGTGTAATACTGGTGTATGGCGGGTGTGTAATACTGGTGTAGTGAGGGTGTAATACTGGTGTAGTGAGGGTGTAATACTGGTGTAGTGTAGGTGGTGTAATACTGGTGTAGTGAGGGTGTAATACTGGTGTATGGAGGGTGTAATACTGGTGTAGTGAGGGTGTAATACTGGTGTATGGCGGGTGTAATACTGGTGTAGTGAGGGTGTAATACTGGTGTAGTGAGGGTGTATTGAGGGTGTAATACACTGGTGTATGGAGGGGTAATAATACTGGGTGTAGTGTACTACTGGTGTATGGGGTGTAATACTGGTGTAGTGGTGAGGTGTAATACTGGTGTATGGCGGGTGTAATACTGGTGTAGTGATGGGGTGTAATACTGGTGTAGTGAGGGTGTAATACTGGTGTATGGAGGGTGTAATACTGGTGTAGTGAGGGTGTAATACTGGTGTAGTGTGGGTGTAATACTGGTGTATGGAGGGTGTAATACTGGTGTAGTGAGGGTGTAATACTGGTGTAATGGTGTAATACTGGTGTAGTGAGGGTGTAATACTGGTGTAGTGAGGCTGTAATACTGGTGTAGTGAGGGTGTAATACTGGTGTATGGAGGGTGCGGTGTAGTACTGGTGTATGGTGTAATAGTGTGTAATAATACTGGTGTAGTGTGGGTGTAATACTGGTGTATGGAGGGTGTTATACTGGTGTAGTGTGGGTGTAATACTGGTGTAGTGAGGGTGTAATACTGGCGTACTGAGGGTGTAATACTGGCGTACTGAGGGTGTAACACTAGTGAGGGTGTAATACTGGCGTATTGAGGGTGTAATACTGGTGTAGTGAGGGTGTAATACTGGTGTAGTGAGGGTGTAATACTGGGGTATGGCGGGTGTACTACTGGCTTAGTGAGGGTGTCATACTGGTGTAGTGTGGGTGTCATACTGGTGTAGTGAGGGTGTAATACTGGTGTAGTGAGAGTGTAATACTGGCGTAGCGAGGATGTAATACTGGCGTAGTGAGGGTGTAATACTGGTGTAGTGAGGGTGTAATACTGGCGTAGTGAGGGTGTAATACTGGTGTATGGCGGGTGTGAGGTGAGGTGAGGTGAAATTGGGTTTAACGTAGTGCTTGAGAATATTTCGCTCATATGACGACGTGTATGTACGTGCGGCTGCTTGTACTAGCCCAGACTGAAGCTGGTTTTATAGTGCTAGCTCACTGAGATACCATGCCGCAATGAAGCATGAATACCCCACTCAGACACAGTATACTGACTCCGAGCCGACCGTCCTTGTTGTACCCATTACTGCCGAGCGTCAGGCAGGGACCAACAAGTACCATATTTTAACGTCTTTTGGTATGACGCGGTCGGGGATCGAACCCGCGGCCTTCCGCACTCCGGGTGGACGCTCTAACCACTACACCACGGAGACGGTCCGTGTAATAAGGGTGTTGTGAGAGTGTGATACTGGTGTAGCAGCGGGGGATACGGACGTAGTGCGGGTATACTCGGGTGTAAGGAGGGTGTAATAAGGGTGTTGTGATAGTGTGATACTGGTATACTGGCGGGGGATACTGACGTAGTGCGGGAATACACGGGTGTAAGGAGGGTGTAATAAGGGTGTTGTGAGAGTGTACATTCAGTTCCACGAAGAGAGAGTGATTGAGTTTAGTTTTACGCCGCTTTTAGCAATATTTCAGCAATATCACGGCGGGGGCACCAGAAATTGGCTTCACACATCGTACCAACGTGGGGAATCGAATCCGGGTCTTCGGCGTGACGAGCGAACGCTTTAACTACTTGGCTTCCCCCCACCGCCCCAGTTCAACGAAGAAGAATAAATAATCATATCATAACAACTAATACTGTTCAGTATTTTCATTATCCCAAACCATCAAAACGCAACCGTTCAACACTAAAATGATCTGCATAGAAAGTTGTATCAAGAAATGTTAAATGGTTAGCAAGATGTTGCCCCGGAAACGAGCACTGACATCACTTGCATAAAATGTAAAACCCTGACACGAAAACGCGTGATAATATAAACAACTTAAACACTCCACTTATCTGAAAGCACCGGTTCACCAAGAGACAGATAAACCTCGCAGAGTTTCTTACGGAAATATTCAACGGTTTTGGAGTTCCGTTTCGGATATGAGCACTACTCTCATTTTCATGTCGTGTAAAAATGAAATAAACAGACCACAACATATGACAAGGCTCACCCCTCACAATTACTCGCAACTTCAGCTCAACAACAATTAATAATGATTATTCTTGACAAACTTCGTACTGCACCTTTCCTATAAACAAAGAAGCCAATGCCCAAATCTGAAAGAAATCCATTAAATGACTGTAAAGTTACTAGTTGAACAAATGTGACGTGGGAAATGAGCACAATCCTCATATTCAGCCGAAGTAATTGTAATAAGAAAAGAAAAGATCAGTTTCAAGTGCGAGTTGGGGTTAACGCCTCTTTCAGCATTGTTATCATCTAATTACGGCAGGGGATACCAGAAATTGGCTTCACACATTGTACCCGGGTGGATCATCGACCCTGGGGCAAAGTTGAAACGTATATAAATCACCTGGAGTACCACATACTGACCAGCTCATAGGTCACGGTAAAATGTCTGTCGCAACCTTTCGGCAACATTCACAAATAACTTGCGTCAGGTTTTGACCAGTTCAATCCCTACTCATTCTCATTACCTTCTCAGCCTTTTCATTCATTTCGATCAAGGTTCTTTCAAATTATCTTGACTCATTGTAAAATTTGAGTATTTTTCTCTTATCACTTATGAACTTTCTCTACGGTCAGAATACCCACGCTTCAGTTCGATGCAAGATTCTGAAAAGAATTTCACACTGTTTTTGACAAACCATCTTGAACATCCTTCATCTGAAATGATCCTGACTTGGCCTCCCAATGATTTCAGGGTACCAGTCCTATCAGTGATATTAAATCTGTTCACTTGTTGTTTCATGGGTATACATTCTTACAATTTGACAAACATATTACACTGATGTTTATTATCTGGCAGAGGCTCCCATTGGAAGCCTGTTCAAACTTGGAGAGAAGCTAAATTCACTTATCGAATGTATATCCATTAACAAAGTTGTGAATGTAGCCCATATTTGAATGACAAAACTGTATATGTGTGTAGGTCACCTTAAATGTAGTCGTATTAGTTTAATGCCACTTTTAGCAACATTCCAGCAAAAGCATGACAGGGGACATTTGAAATGGGCTTCTGACATTGTGAGGAATCGAACCGTCTTCAGCTTGATGAGCTAGCCTACTGTACAGGCGGGTACAGGCGGGTGCAGGGGTGCGCACCTTCCCCACCTTCAAAGTTTATTAAATGACCATTAAAACTCTTTTGAAAACGGATGAAAAAGAACCGTGCACACACACCCCACACCCTTTCTCAAAAAGCTGTATCCAACCCCCCACCACCGAGTTGTACAACATCTTAACTCATTCCTGTAGTTGAAACTGTTATGTATAGATAGGACGTGTCAATGTTCTGACTATGATCTAGTGTTGGGAATTGGTGTAAATCTCATAATTGATGATTGGTTCATTACAACCGATCAATCATCGAAAATAATTGGTTAGCGTCATTTATCAAGTTTTCCTGGTTATGTTTGTTTGGTATGTTATGCACAAAAGAATAAAGAAAAAACATGTAGTTTCTCGGGTTTTTTCGCAAATTACACAAAATGCATTTGCAAATTTTACATCTTTAAAGGATGACTAGTGTGTTAGGAACATACATTTCCTGGAGTTGTTAAGATAAACTTTATCAAGACTTGAAACGAGTTTGTTGTGCTTATGCAATGTCGAGACAAAATAAACCTTTTGAAAAATATTGTTATTGCAAACAAGTGGTCCAAAATTGTTTGTGTTCGATTATGAGAAAAAATGATCGATTGCTTGGTCGTTTTGTCATTGCGACCAATCTTCGATTATTTCAATTAATCGGACCACCACTACTATGATCCATAAAATATTTCAACTCTCCATCCTTGAATCAATCCATTTGTTCGATTTCAAAATGAAAACTACTATTTCATCAGCCTTCCTAAAATTTATCGAAAGTCCAGACCAGGACACTTATCAACAACACTATTTCCACCATTATCAATAGTCCTTACAAAGAATAGATTTGGCCAAATACAGCATATTTTGAAAACTGTTACATTCTAATGTATGTATCAAAACATGACAGATTTGATGTTTAAGGTTTTAAATGTTACATAAATGCTCTTTTTCTTTGTTCATATGGTTGATTACATTTCTGAAACATCAGACATGACAAACACAAATCAAAAGGATCTGCTATGGACTCCCAAGAAAGCAAGACCTGTTGAATGTATACATATAAGACAAATGGGTGCTGGGAAAGTGTTGTTAGATCTCCCTCCCTATGCTCCCTACAGCTGTTGGTGAGATTGTGCCACATCATAATCTTCCAACAGGGGTCCCTCCTCCTGCCCCCAGGCAATGACTGGGTTCAACCAAATTATTTCATATGGAACAAGATACAGGAATGAGCCTAAACCAAATGATTTTTGACATTGCTCTTTCCACCCTTGCAGCTATATTTTAGCTGTAAGGAAAGAGAAATATCATCGCTGCAACCACAATACAACATGGATTGATTGAAGGTCCTATGCACTCTTACTGCCCAGTGCACTTGACTGGTTTCATAACACTAGAGACATTTCAATGTATAAGGTCCGCATTGTGAATCAAGCGTTGAGAAAAGTACAAACCCTATCATTTCATAAAGACAAATAGCTTTATTTGACAAATGAGTTACATATACACATACGAAAATGAGTCCACAAAGTGTATATAGACTAGAGCTCGTGCAGCACAACAGCAAGTCGTGTTGTCCGCTGGCTGCACAGGCTGCTCAAAGATGTCTGTTGTCAACACCTTGACAACCGACAGTTTTTTCTACATTGTGACAATGAAATTTGTTAAATTTCAGAAATCATTTGACAGCTGCTACTAGCAGGGACTACATATAATGAATACAGAAGCAAAGTGTGACTATAGACATTCATATCATGCAGACCAGTCACGCATGCCAACACTGCCTGGATAGTAGTACAATGGTCGCTGCTGAGACATACACTTTCAAAATTTTAATATCACAGACATAAATTAGAATCTATGGTGGTTTTTCCCAAAACTTTGTTTCCGAATATATTTAAATAAGAACACAAATATATTATTGTGAATATGTTACAGAAGAATCTATGACAGATACTTAACAACAATTAGTCTGTGAAACTAAAATTGAGTCTTTCTTGTCACAATTTCTGAAAACTACTATCATATCGCAGCACATGTTGAACAAATCTTGTGCAACGATTAGTCATAATGTAATACTTGCCTTAGAAAAAACATTAGATACATAAATGCAAAAACAATGAGTAAACGCACTAAAAACATAATTATGTCATATACAAATAGATTTCACAGTAGACACAAGCTCTTGGGATATGAGCCGAGTTGAACAATCCCGACGTAAGGTTAGTTTCCCCTGATTAAAGACTACACTATCAGATCCAAAGGCTTCATTACTGAAACCTTTACCTCAACTCAAGACTTCAGTTCCATATCTCAATCTGCTTACTTCCTCTCCCCACTGAGAGTATATTTTGTGAGATTTCACATCCAGGGATATTTTTGGATTTTCCAGTTTTTGATAAAACAAAGCTGACTTCATTGAGATATGAGACCTTCTGATCACACAGGTACAAAGTTCATGTATATATTGCAACATATCTGCAAACACCATGATGACACAGTCAGTGATAGCTGTTACAACAACACACAGGATCAGCTTCTATCCTGCCAATGCTTCATGCCACTCTTCCAATCACTATTGGTGTGCATCCTAGTAAAACACACATTTCCGTCTAAGCAAAATAGCCTCTTGATGTTTAACTGACTGTTTTGGCAATGTAGGTGTCCGGCAAATCTTGACTTAATACGGAAATGCATCATGACATAATCATGCCCTTCACATGAATCTATGACCTTGACAACAACGAGGTAAAAGCTGATCCCATTGTTTATCAGACAGCAGCTAGAAGATAAATGTCCAGAGATATAACTTAGCCATGGCAACAGACAAGGTTCAATAAATAATGTTTGTTACCAAAACATTGACTTGAACAAAAGAACAATAAGATTAAAAGGGGGGTGCTGTTTAAATGTTGTCGTTCAAGATACATCAACAAAACTGATAATCCATGGAAAAAAATGTGTGTATTTTTTACAATTATTTTCTTTCAAATATTTCATGTCACAAGACACATTTGCAACAAATATCTACACTTGCACACATGGTAATTTGGATAGTATATGCTATATAGTAGTCGAGGCGGCTTTTGTAACAACGGGTGTCCATTGGGTATCCCAGCACAACAACAGTGCACTTACAGGACATGATTCACTGTCAACATAGCTCCAGGACAACTCCAGGAGAAGCCAACCATGCCCCGACCTTGGTCCCCCGTTCTTGTTTTTGAATGACTTTGACTCACAATCTAAATCCGGGTACAAGGAAGTATCTACCAATTGATAAAAGGAAAATACATCCATGAAACAGGATTCAGAGGGCAAGCTCTCATACACCGTATCGCAGTAAATATGGAAATGAGGAAGATTGCATAAAGTTAGGTCGGGACTCCAAAGTGACTTGTGTGCAGACGCACGTCTTGAAGCGATACCCACACTTGACACATACAAATATTGCACTACAATTCATATATGGGTGTCCAAATATCCACACTATAGGTAGATATTTGACGACAGACTGGGAAGCAGACTGACAATATGATGGCAAGCTGCATCGCTCAGTCACAAGCACACTGTACAGTGATGCTCCTCGGTCCACACCACCACACATGGTTCTGGTCATGTGGACCGACAGCAATGTGGCTACAGTGCCAGCATAGATGCCTCACGCATGCACGCACCTCAAGTAGGTAGGTGCACTGAGGAAGCAGGTACGCCATGGATGTGCAGCTCTCTGCACTGACCCCTCTGTCCAGAGAACTGCACGGGTGAAGAGCAGCATGGCAGAACATTAGCTCTGCACAGTATGCAATGAGAAGTTGACACCAAGACATTCTCACAAACAGACACATAGAAGACTTGAGCGATGAAGCAGACTTTTCCATCTACAATTCCATGTCAGAAATAAAAGTACAATCAATTCAGTTTCAATATCAAAAGAGAATACAATACGGCTTGATTTGCCTTGTACACACACTTCTCGCGGCCAAGACATATGCAAAATTTAAGACGGCAATTAATTAATTAATGGTCATGTCTTGAAAATGGTAAAATGCTACACTTTTGTCTCACAAATAATTGTTGTTTCACCACACTACATAAATTGTAAACCTACAAGTGTTACCTCCTGCCAAATCAAGCATCTTTCAGAATGCACACGTTTTCAAATCCCTTCCAGTCTGGGCAATTCACGTCAGTTCAAAGACCACCATAATCCAAGTAATAATTTATCAAGAAATTATTGCAATCTTTGCTTAAGTCAGTCGGTCGACTTGTTCCTTTAAGGTCAGTGAAATTGCCCATCTATCCCTCAAAATGTTAGTTAACCCTTTAGGAATCCACACCGCAGGGTTAATCGCTTTTCCCACATGATCCAAGATGATTGTGTCACTTGTAGGTTTGTGAGGACTACGTGTAGTCACTCGCAGACTGCTGCTTCTCACAGGTGGCTGATGGGACTCCAATGAGAAGTGATTGTGTTGGTCTCCCTTACATACTGGAGCTCAATGTCTATCTACTGAAACAAGAGAGACAGACAGACAGAAATGGGTAGTCCGTATATACACCAGGGGGGTTGTCCTCAGGTGACTATCACCACGCACTGGATAGTCTTGTACAGTGTGAGCCTCTCACCAACATCAGATCGCATCCTTCCACGTGTTGTGAGAACAGACTGCCATTACAGAAAGAAAAGCAACATGGACATTGACGGACCACACGCACAACTCGCCCATCCTGCACCACCGCAGGCCTCAGTTCCAGATCTTGAGGAAGCTATCCCATGATCCTGTTGCGACGGCCATCCCGTCCTCTGTCACACCCAAACAGCTCACACGGTTGTCATGGCCAGCTAGCACACCTGTAGAAAGCAAAACATCCAGTAGTTAGTGTCACTAACATAACCCTAGGGTTGTATTACTTCCAATCTGCAATGTGCTACAAGCTCAACATACATAATATGCATTTCTACAGGGAAGAAAAATTAACAATCTATATCATACCTGCTCTATCTTGTTTGAGCACGTCCCATACATTGCAATTAAAGTCATCATATCCGCCGAGGAGCAGGCGTCCACTCTTGGAGAAGGCCACAGATGTGATACCACAGATGATGTTGTCGTGGGAGTACATGCCGATCTCCTGGTCTGCCCGGATATCGAACAGGCGGCACGTGGCGTCATCAGACCCCGTAGCAAACGCAGAGCCATTCGGGAAATACTGGAGAAAAGAATCAGCAGGTTAAACAAAAATCTAGGTGAACAAGAAACAGCTGAAGTTGCAGACACACAACATATTTTACAATAAATTTTCTTAAATGTTGATAGAATTGTCCTTCATAGTCATGCCTTGCATATACACGTGAAACCAGGTTACTTACCGTAATTGCATTAATATCTGACTCATGGCCTGAGAAAGTCTGCTTGCACATTCCATCTCTGATATCCCAGAGCTGAAACAAGAGTCATGTAATGTTTAATACTCTGAATTTTCAATTTCACAGCTTCTATAGCTTGATAATTATCATGCTAATGTCATGAGTGAGTGTGTTAAAATTTAACATCACCGTGGCAATATTTCAGCCATATAGTCATGAGAAATGTTTTACATACACAATGCTCAGCGACACGTAATGCTTAGACAGATATACACTTCACAAAAGTTTCTGACCATGCATGCATTTATATATCTGCACAAATGGTGACAGAAAACTTAAACAGAACAAAATTTGTGTTATCATGAGGAGAAACTTGCTTGTACAAAAAATGGCAGAGAAATAGAGATGAACAGAATTTTAAATATGGCTACTGTGGAAGCCATTTTAAAATCAAATTTGAACCTCTTAATCAAAAGCATATGTCCCCATTACTAAAGTCAGCACTTAAATATTTCAGAGGAAATGAGAATTAAGGAGCATGGTCAATGTTAAAAGATCAACAGACGATCAAACATTCATATATCATGAAAAAACACCGAACGTGTGCAGCAATACACAAAAATATCTTCTCAGTTTGAAAGAGAGAGGGCACCGCCATAGCAAGTTTGGAGGTTTCAGAATGTTTGAAGTGAATAAGGGGACAAGTCATCAGTTGGATCCATGATTATCTTAGGCTACAGATACTGCAACTGAGTGTGAGTGCCTCTCACCTTAGCCGATGCATCACAAGCACCTGACACAAATGTCTTCATATCGGGAGCCAGTGATAGACTCATGACATCACCAGTGTGCCCTGTGAATGAAGTGGTGTTCTGGCCAGTTTCTATATCCCATAATGCACTGTAGAGATAACACAGAACAATGTTAAAACATTGGTAAAGATAAAACATGTGTAAAGATACATCCTTGAACAGCATCAGCAACATCAATACAAATACCATACATATAAGTTATCATAATACTCTGCTACTTTATCATTGCCAAATAATGAAACGAAGTTAAATATCCTTAGAACCGTATTTCATTCTAGTTATGAAGTTTTGAAGACTTCAAGACAAACTGGTTACTCACCAAGTCATATCTCCTGAGCTTGTGACTATTTGGTTATCATCGAGAAATCGGCAACAAGAGAGGTAGCCAGTGTGGCCAGGCAACTCTCTACTAACACGGACATTGCCTTCTCGAGTTTTTAGACTGTAAATGGAACAAATGTTGTCCAGCCCACCACATGCGACGTAGCTGCCCGAGGGAGCATAGGCACAGGTCATTACCCAGCTGGAGCGTAGTGGAATAGCATGAACCTGAAACAAGAGACTCCAGCTCAACCCACACACCAAAAGAGGTCCTGTCCACCACACACACACATACACTGACCATCATTCCACAAGGCAAGTCAACAGTAACAAGAGCTTCCATGAGCACAGCACACAGGCCAGAGCATCCATGAGCACAACACACAGACCAGAGCTTCCAAGAGCACAGCACACAGACCAGAGCATCCATGAGCACAGCACACAGGCCAGAGCATCCATGAGCACAACACACAGGCCAGAGCATCCATGAGCACAACACACAGGCCAGAGCATCCATGAGCACAGCACACAGGCCAGAGCATCCATGAGCACAACACACAGGCCAGAGCATCCAGGAGCACAACACACAGGCCAGAGCATCCAGGAGCACAGCACACAGACCAGAGCATCCAGGAGCACAGTACACAGACCAGAGCATCCAGGAGCACAGCACAGGCCAGAGCATCCAGGAGCACAGCACACAGACCAGAGCATCCAGGAGCACAGCACAGGCCAGAGCATCCACGAGCGTAGCACAGGCCAGAGCATCCAGGAGTGTAGCACAAAGGCCAGAGCATCCAGGAGTGTAGAACAGCACACAGGCCAGAGCATCCAGGAGCACAGCACACAGGCCAGAGCATCCAGGAGCACAGCACACAGGCCAGAGCATCCAGGAGCACAGCACACGGGCCAGAGCATCCAGGAGTGTAGCACACAGGCCAGAACATCCAAGAGTGTAGAACAAAGGCCAGAGCATCCAGGAGCTCAGCACACGGGCCAGAGCATCCAGGAGTGTAGCACACAGGCCAGAGCATCCAGGAGCGTAGCACACAGGCCAGAGCATCCAGGAGTGTAGCACACAGGCCAGAGCATCCATGAACACAGCACACAGGCCAGAGCATCCAGGAGCGTAGCACACAGGCCAGAGCATCCAGGAGCGTAGCACACAGGCCAGAGCATCCATGAACACAGCACACAGGCCAGAGCATCCATGAACACAGCACACAGGCCAGAGCATCCAGGAGTGTAGCACACAAGCCAGAGCATCCAAGAGCACAGCACACAGGCCAGAGCTTCCATCAAGGCAGCATATAGACCAGAGCATCCATGGACACCCAGGCCATATCACCCACGAGCACAGCACCCAGATCAGAGCATCCATGGATACAGCACACAGGCCACAGTACTATTTACAGCAATGCATACTCACCATATCATCAGGACAACTCAACCCTCACCCCTCCCTATCACCATCTGATAAATGATATGCTGCTTAACTCCATGGATGGATGAAGTAAACCCTATCAGCAGACAAGCCAGTCAACCGTTCCCATTCTTACAGAGTATCACACTGTCACACACAATGTCACACATGTCTGTCATTCAGTCCACGCTGTCTGGTTTTCTCAAACAGATCATCAACACCTGTTACACAGATGAAAACAATATTGGGGGCATATATTTAAAAGTAGAGCTTGACATTTTCAAACATACAGTTCTGAAATTTACAAAAGAAATTCTACAACAGTACAAAACTGAAGCCAAGAGGAAGGGCAGACGTAAGACACAAATGAGACAAAGAAAGCTGGCACCATGTACCAGTTGGCAGAGTGTCAGTCTTCATACCATTCATACTCATCACTTACATAAATATTCCAGGTTTCCCAACTACAACACACAATCTCACATTTGCTAGAAATGATTTCTTGTAATGTTTCTCTATATCCACAAAGAAAGAAAATATTTCACACTTCTTTTGGAATAAAAATAGATTGTTTGAAGACTGACACCTACCTTGCAAGATGATTACATAAAAGCAAAGATGCAGACACAAATACAGATATAAATCTGGGGAGTATGTACCTTTTCATAAAGTACAGAATGTAATTGGGTTGTAGGCAACCCCAAACAAAAAACACAAAAATACTTTAAAAATTATAAAGTGCTTTAACTTAAGTGAACACTGTGATCATTGAAAAAAAAAACACATAAAAAGTGCAGCATATTTCAGTCCTTATTGTCATCACAAAATAAATTAATATATTAGTAATGTGTCAGTTCAAAACGAGTGAGATGTCTGCCACTCACTGAAGCATTTGTTTCCAGTTTATAGTAACGAACCAGAGCATGAGGTGAGAGTTTGGGAGGCCAGCCAGTTTTGGGTCGAGAGAACAGAGATGCCAAGATAATGCTAATCAGCTGACTACCAGAGTCATCAGCAATATACGCTTCATAAAACACAGTAAAATCACATTACTTCTATTAGACCAAGTCTGATCCTACGTCAGCCTTCTGTGTTGGACGGCTGAGTGATGCTGAACGTCACTTGCAGGTGAGCTACCTGACAACCAGAACATGCCTGGTGACCTGTTCCATGCACCATGAACACCAGCAACACTACCAACACACAAGCTTCCTTACACACACACACATAGCAGCAGCATGTCCACATACTGCGGCTAGCTAGGCTGTGAACAGATGCATGCTTAGCTCACTGTCACCTTGCCAACTGACACACCAAGCATTAGGCAGAATCACCCAGCAGCAGAGCATGTAGCAAGCATAAAGCTGAGGAAGCAGCCTGGCTTTTCACAGTATTGGATTCCTCATTGTTTCAAGTTACTGTGGACAAGTCCTGAAGAATTAATACAACTGAACATTAAGACTTCCCTAACACTACAGAAGGAGTAACCATGGTAACCTGTCTAGACATAACCAAATTATTTTACTTTGCTATTATAACAATGTACAATGTCATGTCATAATAGCCCAACAATTTACATTTACAATGTTAAACCTTATCCATTAGTGAACACCATCATTTATTTTGAGAAATACTCCACTCTTAAAGGCAATGAATATGACGTAATATTTATGTAATAAGAAAACTGAGGACAAGTGAAAGTATCTTATCATTATCTCTATCAAATCTGTTAGTAATATGAAGTTTTTGTTGCTATGCAAAGCTCAAACTGAAAACTACTGATGTACACCTATACTTGTAACCTCACAACTAATGACAATGTGCCAGTGTACAGGAAGAGTCCCATCAAGTACAGACTGTTGCACCCTGACATTTTCTATGACTTGGTCTGGATAGTCAGAAGCTACATCTTGGCATCTCTGTGCAAATTTGTCAGAAACATGTCTCACCTTGTTGCAAGTAAAACCATCCCATACTATTAATTTACCATCTTGTGATGCAGATACAAGATTCCTGAAACAAACAAAAGAAAACACAACAATCAAACATTGATACTACTCCTCTGTTACCTACCTTGTTGGTGGTGCAAGTATCCCATACTATTAATTTACCATCTTGTGAAGCTGAAACTAAATTTCTGAAAAGAGGAAGAGAATTGTGAATTATGAATTATTGTTTTTAATGATATGATGGAATGGAACACAGAGGTTGGAGGTAACTGAGCACTATAACAAGTTGGTAAGTTCTCACATTTGAATACTGGACTACTAAGTCATCTCCATTCTTCATGCACAGGAAATATTATGTTCATCTGAACAGCTGGTGTTTTCATTCTTGGACATTATGATAATTACCCTAAGATGCATGAACATGATACCAGTATTTTCATTATGTTTATGTCTTGCCAATGTAAAAATATATCAGTAAAATACATTAGGAGATTTCTTAAGTTATTTCAACCTCAATATATCAAAGAAGCATGCACCAAACAGAAAGGTTGCCGTGTCTGCAGTACAACAAAGAGGTCTATATCTGAGGTGCAGTTCAAAGTGAATCCAGTTGATGAGAAGTTGGACTACAGAATAGTTCAGGTCAATATTGGCAATTCAGTGAAATAATGAATGGTCCATCAGCACCCAATGATCTGTAGTGACAGCACAACAAGGCAGAAGCTATGTTTCTCCTACAATAACACTCCAAACACGTATATTTGACAATCTCTTACAATATTCAGATAGATACTCTAGAATTTGTCCCTATTAATATCATTAGCGTAACCACTGATGAGAGGACTGGAGTGGTTATGAAGTTGCATGTCGCAGTTTATTTCATCACAATCTTTCTTTACCAATTACTGATTTCCCCCAAGTGTGTGCACCTAAATCAGGCAAGATTGAACAGTGTGACCAAGCCATGAAACAATCTCATCTAGCCATAATAATCTGATATCCTACAAACAAAACATTTTGTGCAAACCCTAACATTTGGTGTCTTAACAAGACGTAAACTTCAATGCCATGAAGAATGGTTGTATACTCATCACCCAAGACATTAGAATTCACCAGAAACTGAGGCAAGCAGCTGTCCCTCCCTCCCTCCCTCCCTCCCTCCCAGCCAGTGTGCAGCAGCAGCAGCCAGCAAGGCTATTCCTACACTCTGCCTCTAGAGCAGTCACTCACAAACTACAAGGAAAGGAAATGTATCTGAAGCCAAGAATGTCCTGATAGTGATATGCAACACTGTTTTATCTTGCCTATTGACTGCAAGGCCTGGCTGTGTGCAAATATCAGGCAATATTCCCTGTAGCTGGCTGTGTCTGCGTGGCTCCAATAACCCAGAGAAATCAATAGCATTCTAGCCCGTGCTTCTGTCTTTTACATCATGAACATGTCGTCATGGCAACCATTCCTATGGGTCTTTCGTCAAATAGAGCCTCCAAGGTTCTACTCAGAACAGTGAGCTGATGATAATCCTCCCTACAAGCTCTACTGTAAAATTAGTACACTGGGTATACAACCAAATAGCAGACAGATAAACTAGCAATATAACAGAAGGGAATCAGCACCTTTCTCTTTGTTAGATCATAAGGTGGTATTCACAATTACATGTAGATAATGTGGTCCGTTACACTACTTGCACATCAACCGAATAAGCTTCAGACATGTCTGAAATCAGCATAAAATAAGTAGCTCTTCAAATGAACTATTTCTAAGCGTTCTACACACAAATATGTGACAATGTTGAAGAGTTTTCAGTCTGTTCTTTCCCAATTACTATGGTTTGCAACACATATTAAGAAGGAACATCTAATACACTGCTTATTATTCATATTCTTCTTTAGAGACATTGTGAAAATCTATTTCTTTCAGCTTCAGAAATTGATGAGTGAACAAATTCAACAGTAAATGATCCCCTCGGCACAATTACCCACTGGACAACAAACAAGCCTATATTTCAACACTGAATGGAGTGAACTTGGCTGTGATGTGTTCTGATACATGTGTGAAATATCCTAATAGGAAGGTTCACAATTTTCCAGATTAATATGAAGCAAGATCATGAGAGAACACACAGAACAATGTATGTGAGTGAGTGAGTGAGTGAGTTTTAGTTTTACGCCACTTTTAGCAATATTCCAGCAATATCACGGCGGGAAAGACCAGAAATGGGCTTCAGACACTGTACCCATGTGGGGAATGGAACATTGAATGTAATATCCCACACCATCACACAATCAACAATGATTACTAACCACGCAGCAGCCTCAATCTGACATACACAAAGTGCACCACTAATGGCCACAGCTGCTGTCTGTATGTAGCTTGTCAACCTTTACCACCTAACAAGACCACTCAAAGTGACACCATCTGCTTTGACAGTTAATATCAGTGCAAACATACGTCAGCATTTTGTATGAAGTTTGCAGACTTTATATCTGAAGTGTCCCCTAACAGATGCATGGCCAACACTGACCCACAACGTAATTATCCTCAAGCGTCACTAGGGCAATGTGGCCAGTGTTGACATTTACAGAAGAAGGGATGACGCAAAACATGTCATACTTGAGGGGGAACTGCCTTCATGATATGGCGCAGTAGAACACCTTCTCATGACCCAAGTCTCCTTCTACATGCTGCTCAGTCAAACACCTCACTATACAGGAACTGTCTCAGTCATGTGGCCTACATAACTCTCCTTCTACATACTGCTCTGTCAAACACCTCACTATACAGGAACTGTCAGTCATGTGGCCTACATAACTCTCCTTCTACATACTGCTCAGTCAAACACCTCACTATACAGGAACTGTCTCAGTCATGTGGCCTACATAACTCTCCTTCTACATACTGCTCTGTCAAACACCTCACTATACAGGAACTGTCAGTCATGTGGCCTACATAACTCTCCTTCTACATACTGCTCTGTCAAACACCTCACTATACAGGAACTGTCAGTCATGTGGCCTACATAACTCTCCTTCTACATACTGCTCAGTCAAACACCTCACTATACAGGAACTGTCTCAGTCATGTGGCCTACGTAACTCTCCTTCTACATACTGCTCAGTCAAACACCTCACTATACAGGAACTGTCTCAGTCATGTGGCCTACATAACTCTCCTTCTACATACTGCTCTGTCAAACACCTCACTATACAGGAACTGTCAGTCATGTGGCCTACATAACTCTCCTTCTACATGCTGCTCAGTCAAACACCTCACTATACAGGAACTGTCAGTCATGTGGCCTACATAACTCTCCTTCTACATACTGCTCAAACACCTCACTATACAGGAACTGTCAGTCATGTGGCCTACGTAACTCTCCTTCTACATACTGCTCAGTCAAACACCTCACTATACAGGAACTGTCAGTCATGTGGCCTACATAACTCTCCTTCTACATACTGCTCAGTCAAACACCTCACTATACAGGAACTGTCAGTCATGTGGCCTACATAACTCTCCTTCTACATACTGCTCAAACACCTCACTATACAGGAACTGTCTCAGTCATGTGGCCTACATAACTCTCCTTCTACATACTGCTCTGTCAAACACCTCACTATACAGGAACTGTCAGTCATGTGGCCTACATAACTCTCCTTCTACATACTGCTCAAACACCTCACTATACAGGAACTGTCTCAGTCATGTGGCCTACATAACTCTCCTTCTACATACTGCTCAAACACCTCACTATACAGGAACTGTCTCAGTCATGTGGCCTACATAACTCTCCTTCTACATATTGCTCATACTGCTCTGTCAAACACCTCACTATACAGGAACTGTCTCAGTCATGTGGCCTACATAACTCTCCTTCTACATACTGCTCAAACACCTCACTATACAGGAACTGTCTCAGTCATGTGGCCTACATAACTCTCCTCCTACATACTGCTCAAACACCTCACTATACAGGAACTGTCTCAGTCATGTGGCCTACATAACTCTCCTTCTACATATTGCTCAAACACCTCACTATACAGGAACTCTCAGTCATGTGGCCTACATAACTCTCCTTCTACATACTGCTCAGTCAAACACCTCACTATACAGGAACTGTCTCAGTCATGTGGCCTACGTAACTCTCCTTCTACATACTGCTCAAACACCTCACTATACAGGAGCTGTCTCAGTCATGTGGCCTACATAACTCTCCTTCTACATACTGCTCAAACACCTCACTATACAGGAACTGTCTCAGTCATGTGGCCTACATAACTCTCCTTCTACATACTGCTCAAACACCTCACTATACAGGAACTGTCTCAGTCATGTGGCCTACATAACTCTCCTTCTACATACTGCTCTGTCAAACACCTCACTATACAGGAACTGTCTCAGTCATGTGGCCTACATAACTCTCCTTCTACATACTGCTCATACTGCTCAGTCAAACACCTCACTATACAGGAACTGTCTCAGTCATGTGGCCTTAATACCTCTTTTTATACATACCGCTCAGTCAACAATTCTAAGTCTATTAGGTAACATGGATCTTATTTCATATCCCTTGTAACACTCGAACAGACTTCATCGCTGCTAGTAAGTAATCATAGGGCACATGATTAGAGACAATACACATATCCAGATATCAAAGCATATGTCTGCAGTGTTACACAGACAATCCAAATACAAATTGAGTGTTAACTAAATCCTGCTGGCTTGTGATTTTCATTTCCTGCATTTCCAGCTTAGCTCTGGACTAAGTCACTGATTGTATCCAAGCATACACCCAAAATATCTCACAATAACAATTTCCTTAGCATGAGAAAGTATTGCCACATCAAATTACTAAAAATAGGGCAACACTGCTGTAAAGCTGACATGAATTAGGAAGAATTAAAGGAACACAGACTTGTATTGGAATTAAAGTGTAAAACTTCAAAGCTAACACAGGTGGTATCATTAATACAAAGTTTCAGTTCCACAGGCCTTGCAGTTTCAAAATAAAACATAAAAAAATGTATGATCACTTGAAAAGCAGGAGCTGTGTATGTCAAAGGTTGCAGATTAACCCACAGATGGTACACCTACTCAATCTGGACAAGAACTGGACCACCACTACACAACGACCTGATCATCAACGGCCTGATCATCATCTCCCTTCCCCTGGACCACCACTACACAACGGCCTGATCAACATCTCCCTTCCCCTGGACCACCACTACACAACGGCCTGATCATCATCTCCCTTTCCCTGGACCACCACTACACAACGGCCTGATCATCAACTCTCTTCCCCTTGACCACCACTACACAACGGCCTGATCAACATCTCCCTTCCTCTGGACCACCACTACACAACGGCCTGATCATCATCTCCCTTCCCCTGGACCACCACTACACAACGACCTGATCATCATCTCCCTTCCCCTGGACCACCACTACACAACGGCCCGATCATCAACGGCCTGATCATCAACTCTCTTCCCCTGGACCACCACTAAACAACGACCTGATCAACATCTCCCTTCCCCTGGACCACCATTACACAACGGCCTGATCATGATCTCCCTTCCCCTGGACCACCACTACACAACGGCCTGATCATCAACTCTCTTCCCCTGGACCACCACTACACAACGGCCTGATCATCATCTCCCTTCCCCTGGTCCCCTGGACCACCACTACACAGCGGCCTGATCATCAACTCTCTTCCCCTGGACCACCACTACACACTAAACGCCTGATCAACATCTCCCTTCCCCTGGACCACCACTAAACAACGACCTGATCATCAACTCTCTTCCCCTGGACCACCACTAAACAACGACCTGATCATCATCTCCCTTCTCCTGGACCACCACTAAACAACGACCTGATCATCAATCCCTGGACCATCCCTTCCCCTGGACCACCACTACACAACGACCTGATCATCATCTCCCTTCCCCCGGACCACCACTACACAACGGCCTGATCATCAACTCCCTTCCCCTGGACCACCACTACACAATGGCCCCGATCATTAACTCCCTTCCCCTGGACCACCACTACACAATGGCCTGATCATCAACTCCCTTCCCCTAAACCACCAGTCCACAACGGCCTGATCATCAACTCCCTTCCCCTGGACCACCACTACACAACGACCTGATCATCAACTCCCTTCCCCTGGACCACCACTACACAACGGCCTGATCAACATCTCCCTTCCCCTGGACCACCACTATACAACGGCCCGATCATCAACTCCCTTCCCTGGACCACCACTACACAAACTGATCATCATCTCCCTTCCCCTGATCATCATCTCCCTTCCCTGGACCACCACTACACACGACATTTAACTTGATCATCAACTCTGATCTTCCCCTCCCTGGACCACCACTCCACAACGGCCTGATCATCATCTCCCTTCCCTGGACCACCACACTACACATCAACTCCCTTCCCCTGGACCACCACCTGACCATCAAACTCCCTTCCCCGGACCACCACTACACAACGGCCTGATCATCAATGGCCTGATCATCATCTCCCTTCCCCTGGACCACCACTACACAACGACCTGACCATAAACTCCCTTCCCCCGGACCACCAGTACACAACGGCCTGATCATCAATGGCCTGATCATCATCTCCCTTCCCCTGGACCACCACTACACGATCATCAACCCCCTTCCCCTGGACCACCACTCCAACATGTCTGGCTAGTGTTACATGTCCGCCAGACCTCACAGCAGAGGCAGCCGGCTAATATCACACATCAAGCTCCCTCCCCTGATGAAGTTACCTGCAACTCTTCCAGCCCCTAAGGGTAACTAATAAAACAGGTTACAGTTTTTGCTGATTGCAGCCTTTGTAGACTATCCACTACATTTTGTTTATGCTAGATAGTGTGGATGTGTTATTCCAGTTTGATGTAACAGACTTCAACTATGATCGAACAAACCAGTCTAAAGCCGTGCATTGCCATAAAATTTCAAGGATTTCGCTACTTAAATAAAAGGAATTCAATTATCTTACACTCTGCACCATACAAGCATTCCCTAAACTGCCATGAAAATCCATGTTTGGGACTGGAATTTATCACTGATCACTGGTAACTGTCATCTTGCTTAATGTCCTCAAATTATCCATAAAATTATCCACTCATATAACAATTTTCATCATATTCCTTCGAACCTTTATATTAAATGACAAGCTTCTTATGCTGTACAAGTTGAATCTACATCATGATGTTGGATGTTAGAGGCTGTATACCATCTTTGTTAATCAGTTTTGTTGGCAGACCTTGGATCTGTCGGGAAACTCATACATGCTATAAACCATCGCCTTGGTTTTCGGTGAAGAAATGTGCAATACACTAAACTAAAAAATAAGACATATGTTTGGGCAGGCATTAATAACCTTGTGATTATTGAGCAGACATTTATCTGTTATTCATGAAACTGTTACAAATTCCAAATTTATCAAATCCTCTGACAAATTCGGTATTAAGGAAAACTAAGTTCTGTGGATAGTCAACTTCATTATTGCAACAAGTGCAACGTTTCGGTGTAGGTACCAACAGTCATCAAGCAAGTGAAGAAATGTGCAAAACACTTTAAGTTGCTTGATAACTATGTTACTACCTACACCAAAACATCGCACACATTGCAATAAAGACTGACTGACTGAGTTTGGTTTTACGCCACTTTTAGCAATATTCCAGCAACATCACGGCAGGGGACACTAGAAATGGGCTTCACACATTGTGCCCATGTGGGGATTGGAACCCGGGTCTTCGACGTGACGAGTCAACGCTTTTGACCATTAGGCTACCCCACCGCCCCCTTGCAATAAAGATGTTGACTATCCACAGAACTTAGTTTTCCTTCATCTTCACAACTTCTAAAATGCCTCTCAAAGAACAAATTTGGTATTTCAAATAGCAAAAATATTGCTGTTGTTTTCTTTAGACTTTGGACAAATGTTGGCCTAGCAGCAGGTATAGACAAATACCTGTTGTGGGCCATAGCTTTTTAAATGGACATATTAAAAGAACAATGAAATAATATACTGCACAGTTGGCACCTCATGCGAGCCCAAACACTTCTAAGACATGGTCTGAAATTGTCAAAAAGGAAAAACAAAATATCTTGCTGAGAAACTACATCATGCTGGAAAAGAAATACTTAAAATCAGTGCAATATTATTCTTTAGTGTTGACATGCAAATCCTATAAACATACAAGCCTTAAATATGAAGGAATTGTGTCAAAAAGAGGAACAAAGACTTCAATTACCAACAAGCATTGTTCCAACACATTCCTTTTGACACTTCCTCTCATTGTCTTTCATTAAGTGTTCAAACCAACCAGTTTCACACTCCCCACACACCTTAAAGTCAAATCTTTTCTTGAGAATTTTAAATGGATCAAAGTGTTTACCATTATAAAAGGATCAGACATTGTTCCATATTTAAGGCTTGATCAGAGAAAAAAGATTTACCTGGAATCAGATGCCCAATGCATGGCATATATTTTTGCAAGATGGCCCCTAAGGGTGCGCCTGGTGCGCATTTGAATTCTGCCGACTGGGTCGACATTTGCTGCTGCCTGAGGAAGTGTGGTGTCAGCCGCAGCCTTCCTGGCCTCCTGCAACAAAACAACTGACTGTCAACTCATTCATCTCATAATCTAACCTAAATCTCTGGCATCAACAACCTTGTCGCAACACGTACACTTCATTCAACATCATCTGCTTCATCACAGTGTATGCAACAGAACCTGTTCTCTCAGGGCATGAAAGTTAACCTTGGCTGAATATCAATCTTCTTGCCACGTAACTGTATTCTACTTTCAATTTTTAAGTGGTCATGATTAATGTTATCAAATAACAGTATTGGCGGAATGTGGCTTTCAGTCATTTATTACATTATTAGCAATAAGTTGCTCTTCACCTTGAACACAAGGTCAGCTCAGTAACAGAAGCAGCAGGACACAACAGGCTTATGGATAGCCAAATACATGGCACAAAAAAACAAATCAGAAACAAATTTGCTACTTGTTACCAAAACCTTACATCTTTTTACAAAAAGAGCAGTAGTAATCTTTGCCAAAATACCCCATTCAAATGGCATCCAAGTATCATATCTTCTTGAGTAAAATGAAGAGTTATTTCCTGAAAGAGGTTGTCAAGACGGATGTAATACAGGCGTACAATATATTCTGAAGTTTTCTCCCGAATAATAAGACATTAGATCAAATAACATTTCAAATACCTCATCAACCTTTCTGTAGTAAAGTACATTTTAAACTGTTATCTTCTTTCAAAAGTGTTCACTGTACTTCTGTTTGTAATATTTTTTTAGGGCTGTGTATTGGCAAACATTGTATTGCAATAATTTGAGATATACAAATCCCTGTTGCACTATAATGGGAGCTACAGCGTTTGATAGTAAGTAATCATACAAATCCTATTTTCTACATACAATGGCCCTAAAAATATTTGTTGTGCTTCTGATTACATGAACCTCAAAATTAGGTTAGATAGTTTGGGATTCTTCCTGTTTTATGCAACATTATGTATAGTATGCCTTTCAGTCACTAGATAAACTTGCTATATGTTTTTCACCCAATACACGAGTACTAATTTTTTTTATTGCAATATGTGTCTTTAGAAACATGTATTTAGGTACATAGGTAATATCATGCAGTCATATATTTTAATAAATCTTATTTCAACTTTCAGTCAATATTATTCATGAATCAATTTTGTTGGCTGACCTTGGGTCTGAAGGGAAACTCATACATACTATAAACCATCGCCATGGTTTTCATTGTGTGTCAATTGATTCACACACTCATCTTTATTTAAAACAACCACGATCAGAATATTGCTACTGGCACCTTAAAAGGAACAAGTTGACAAAGGACACATCGTTAGTGTCATAGTTTTGCTTGATAAAATTTTCTTTGTTTTCATTTGACAACTATGTCAACATGACATTTTGTGTGAAACCTTCAAGAAGCTTAAACAGTGACAGGTCAAACTGTTTTATACGTAAAGAAATTACTGGCAATTGCAATCAGCTGTTCCTCCCAAGTGCCATGCTTATGGTTGATATTACGTAAAATATGTGTCATGTAAAAGCTGCAGCTAAAATTATTCAATATTTCTAATGGTAAAACATGAGTTTCATAAACAATTTCTTCCAATCATGTTCTCAAACTTTTCAAGTAATTTTTTATGTATATTTAATGAATCAGTGGCAGCTCAAGGGCAAAATAATAGTAGCAGCATTTTGATTTAGGTGAGTGAGTCAGTCAGTCAGTCTAGTTTTACGCTGCTTTTAGCAGTATTCCAGCAATATCACGACAGGGGACACCAGAAATGGGCTTCACACATTGTACCCATGTGGGGAATCGAACCTGGATCTTTGGCATGACGAGCAAAAGCTGTAACCCCCAGGCTACCCCACCAACCCTTTTAATTTAGGTATAGTTTATCAATTAATTTATATCGTCGAACATTTCAAGGATGACATCAGGGAATGCAAAATTTATTTGAATGGGCACAGACTTAAGTCCATAAAGCATACTCTGGCAACGTAAGATGACGCAATGTAGCAAATTTCTGTTGCATCATCAAGTCTGAATTTGCCTCATGGCAACACTTTCAGTAGATATTAGTTAGATCATAATTAACTAAGCTTGCTGGACCTGAGTTTTACTAGGCTTGGTTTTTCAGATTTGTGATTAATGTTGCAAATCAAACTTATGGGTGAGGGTTCTGTTGACAATACTGAATACAAGATGAGGGTAATGAATGCGACAGGTTAATTAATTAGGTGTGACTTCCTCTTCCTACTAATGGGCGAGTATCAGCACACTGCAGCTAGGGGAAGTGGTCCTCACCCTGATACGGCACCATGACAACAACACAAAGGCTGGCGCCCATGGGGAACAATGTTCACCCGTCTGGCAACTACAGCTGCCAACTGCAACTTCAACCACATTTTTCACAACCTTTCCCTCAACATCAACCACATTTCACACCTAAAATCATTGCAAATGCATGGCCAATTTGCAGCACTAACGGAAGACTCTCAACAACATCTTAGTCCTTGCAAGAAGAGGATTTCACTCCTTCACATTGCCCAAATCAATAGTTAATTTTTGTATCTGGTTGGAGCTATCCCGCTGGGCAGGCTGACAGGCCGAGGCAGCACACACAAATCACCTGACTACACAGGAACCATTGGCCGACTCCGGATCAATACTGGAGCTGCAGCACAGGCAGTGAGCCACCAGTGTACTCAACTACACTCGCGCCACTTTTTAGGGGATAAAAGAGTGCTGGCCTCTGTATCCTCCTATCTCACATCATCATTACGTCTTTTAGATTGTCATTCCAAGTGGCCCCAAATGTACATATATCACTTCCCTTCCTGCCACCAAGGGAGAGCTCCAAAGAACACCCCACTCTCATGGTAAGACTGCATTGTAATAATGCTTACAGATGGGCTTCTTGCATATCAGTAGGCATTGCCTTGACTACTTGTTTACCAGAATCCAAAATATAGCTTCAAGTTCATGAGAACTGTCTCATGAATCAGCAGTATCATGGGTCATGTCCATCATTCAACGAAAATCTCTTAATGATAGCATGAACATATGATGAGCATAGTAACCTTAGAACATAATCACCACATTACTACCGGTACTAATGCCCTGTCTCGTAAATGAAATACTTACCCTTATTTGGTTTTTCAATTGTTCTGTTTCTTGTCGTAACTGGTCTAGTTCACTCATTGTGATATTCTATGTGTATAAATCTGAAAAGAAATGAGTCATGTTATTATTACATCTCCTATAATGACATACAAGACTATACAACAAAACTTGATATAATGGCCAACTAATTACCAACATGTTAAATTCTTCCGAGTTAACACTGAAGAGAAACCATTCTGCAATCACTCCTACAAACTTTCAACTCCACAGTGGTATGTGAAAGTCAAAGGTCAAAGCTTCATTAAAATAGCCAAAAGTCATATGGACCAATGCAGTTTCAGTCCATTAGTGACATGTTGTAAACAAAAAGTTAACAGTGTATTGACAACCAGACTTTAAACAAGCAGGAGCGCAGACATTACACAATAGCCACCCTGCATCCTTTAATATCCAACAAGCAGCAAAACCATATATCACATTCTATATTATCTCAATTCTCACACAAAACCTATATCCATGACTCAATATGACACTTGTGAATCTAAAAGATGCTGCATCCCTCAAGACCTCATTGAACCTTAGATTTGGACACAAATCAAGACACTTGCACTGTGGAGTCTTTAATCCTAAGGCCTAAAAAAATGATGTGGTTCCGATTACCCGACCAACCCTTGAATTCTGGTGCCAACCCTATTTTTTTTTAGATACCATTGTTTTTCCCCAGAACCGACAGACATCGGTCATTCTGACAGAGAAAGTCTACATGATGGCGACAAGCTTGATTAAATAAACAATTACACATTGATAAATGTGTTATTAGTTTGTACTTTACTTCTAAACAAAAATGTAAAAAACAAAAATATTCCTACCTACCTACCCTAAATTTTAAAGAGCTGTAATCGGAACAACATTTTTTCATTTGGCCTAAACACAACATAATTCTGTTGGACGTAAGTCTACAGCAGATCACTGACTCATAACATTCATATTTTCAGCTGTTTTCACTATTATCATAATTTCCACTTTTAAATAATGTATGTTCAGTCATGCCCGCAGACACAATAATTAACACAATAATTAACACCATAATTAACACAATAATTAACACCCATCCAAGACCCTCAAAATGAAGCAGGCCACTATGGTGTTAGGTGTCCTGTTCACTAGTACTGTCTAGAAGAGAAACGTCCAAGTGGAAAGCTGTACTTTCTACTGCCATCACTTTAGACATGTGACAATTGTGCACCAACATGACATACGCTTCCATTTTGGATTAAGTACATTTGGACTACGTATCTTACATCAGTGATATCAAGAATCATTTAGAACATTTGTCCAGGCCACTTGTCTCACTGAGGTCAGCCTGCCATTGCTAGCTATTGACAGAGTGGGTACAGGGAAGTCATGTGATAAGATAGTCAATGTCCCCTGCCACTGATTGGGTACAGTCATAGCAGCAGAGGACATTGACTATCAGTGTCAACACGACACAGGATGTGCTCAAGTCCTCATATTATTAAAAAACTACTTGGCCTTATCATTTATGGACTAGTTGTGAGGTTGAAGCAAAACAGGTATCAGTGATGCCCTGTGATGACTTTAGCGGCAGCTGGGAGGAAAGGATCACCATTGAAGTATTTTAGCCTGCTGACCCTCTGCATAGTACATAAAGCACTGGAAATCCTTCACAAGAACCCTTACATGGATTTAAAGAGACCTACTGGAAGATGATAGTTGGCCTCAAATTTGATGCAGATGTCAGCTACAATTCCCGAATTGGAATTTTGCCAAGTCATGTAATTATGGTAATAACTAATCTTATTGCTATGGAGACGTGACTTGTACTGTGCTGGTAACAGGACCAACAGCTGTCTAGCTGTGCAAGTTCTACATCTTCGCATTGAACACATGTTGAAGGAAATGTTAAAATACCCAAATTTACTAATTATGAGGACAAAAGAAATTCTTAAATTTGGAACAAAATTACTATTTTCTAATTTTTCACCAAGATTATTAATATTAGTCTTAAACCCTAGATAAATTCCTGTCTTATTTTCAAACACTGAAGGCAAAACCTGATTAAAGTAACGATGCTGAGAGATATTATCCATGTACAAAGACTGCCTGTGATGGGCAGTTAATTCATGTTACAGCTCTTTTAATGTTCAAAGTGGGAGTTTGCCATACAGCTATATTTAGACATAATCAATACTGGGTCAAAATGTGACAAGTGTTGAGATGAGTCTGACAGTGACTCATACACTACCATCATCTCCACTGTCTAGTTGGTACATAGGAAGCCAGCAGGACATGTGCTCCACTCCACCAAACTCATCTCAGTAGCAATAAGCACAGTTAAACAAATGCAATCATTGCAAATGTACTGTCCACACAAACCAACTGCCCTGCCCAACAGTCTCCACACAATGTAACATTTCCATCCCTTCGACCCAGTGAAAGATGCCTACTGTCCTTCCCTTTGATCCAAGGCAAGATGTCTACTGTCGTTTCCTCTGACCAAGGGCAAGATGCCTACTGCCATTTCCTCTGACCCAAGGCAAGATGCCTACTGTCCTTCCCTTTGGCTCAAGGCAAGATGCCTACTGTCCTTCCCTTTGGCTCAAGGCAAAATGTGTACTGTCCTTCCCTTTGGCTCAAGGCAAGATGCCTACTGTCCTTCCCTTTGATCCAAGGTAAGATGTCTACTGCCGTTCCCTCTGACCCAAGGCAAGATGCCCACTGTCCTTCCCTTTAACCCAATAAAAGATGCCTACTGTCCTTCCCTTTGACCAAAGGCAAGATGCCTACTGTCCTTCCCTTTGACCAAAGGCAAGATGCCTACTGTCCTTCCCTTTGATCCAAGGTAAGATGCCTACTGCCGTTTCCCCTGACCCAGGGCAAGATGCCTACTGTCCTTCCCTTTGATCCAAGGCAAGATGCCTACTGCCCTTCCCTTTGGCTCAAGGCAAGACGCCTACTGTCCTTCTCTTTGATCCAAGGGTAAGATTCCTACTGCCGTTCCCTCTGACCCAAAGCAAGATGCCTATTGTTCTTCCCTTTGACCCAATGTAAGATGCCTACTGTCCTTCCCTTTGATCTGAGGCAAGATGCCTGTCCTCACCCTTAATCCAACGTAAGATGCCTATTGCCTTCCCATCATAATGTACAAGGTGCCTACTTTCTACCCCTGACCAGAGTAAGAAAACTACCCTTTGCCATTGTGAGATCCATACTGTGTACCCATTGACCAGTGTAGACAGCAGGATATTTCTACTCTGTACCCTCAGTGTAAGATGTCCACCCGATGCCCTACACAACCTAAGATGCTTACTCTGTACGCTACACAGTGTAAGATGCCTACTCTGCACCCTACACAATGGGAGATGCCTACTCTGTACCATACACAATGGGAGATGCCTACTCTACACCCTACACATGGGAGATGCTTACTCTGCACCCTAAACAATGGGAGATGCCTACTCTGAAACCTACAGTGTATGATGCCTACCCTGTACCCTACAAAGTGTAAGATACCTACTCTGTACCCTACACAGTGTAAGATGCCTACTCTGTACCCTACACTGGGGGAGATACCTACTCTGTACCCTACACTGGGGGAGATACCTACTCTGTACCCTACACAGTGTAAGATACCTACTCTGTACCCTACACAGTGTAAGATACCTACTCTGTACCCTACACAGTGTAAGATACCTACTCTGTACCCTACACAATTGGAAATGCCTTCTCTGTACCCTACAGAGTGTAAGATACCTACTCTGTACCCTACACAGTGTAAGATACCTACTCTGTACCCTACACAGTGTAAGATACCTACTCTGTACCCTACACTCGGGGAGATACCTACTCTGTACCCTACACAATTGGAGATGCCTTCTCTGTACCCTACACAGTGTAAGATACCTACTCTGTACCCTACACAATTGGAGATGCCTTCTCTGTACCCTACAAAGTGTAAGATACCTACCCTGTACCCTACAGTGTAAGATACCCAGGGCTCCATATAAGGACCATATCGGCGTATGTAGGGATAAAAAAATTGCATGATACGGTAGGAAATAATTTAGAAAACGTAGCAGATACACACCACAGCAATGGTGTACAGCCTTAGAATCATTTACAGACGTATTTATCTGAAAAAGTATTGTTTTATTGTGTATTGACCTGTTTACACAAGACTAGCAATGTTGTGGTGCATAAGCGAAACACAAGATTACTGATACTCCATTAAATTCCATTCAGTACTCTAAATGCAGGCTTAAGGTTTTCAAGTACTCCTATATTGAAAAAATAAGGAGTACGTACTCTTGTTGTTTAAATATTATCTGGAGCCCTGATACCTACTCTGTACCCTACACAGTGGGAGATGCCTTCTCTGTACCATACCCAATGTAAGATGCCTTCTCTGCACCCTACACAATGTAAGATGCCTTCTCTGCACCATACACAATGTAAGATGCCTTCTCTGCACCCTACACAATGTAAGATGCCTTCTCTGTACCCTTCACAATGTAAGATGCCTACTCTGCACCCTACACAATGTAAGATGCCTTCTCTCCACCATACACAATGTAAGATGCCTTCTCTGCACCATACACAATGTAAGATGCCTACACAATGTAAGATGCTTCTCTGCACCATACACAATGTAAGATGCCTTCTCTGCACCATACACAATGTAAGATGCCTACTCTGCACCCTACACAATGTAAGATGCCTTCTCTGCACCATACACAATGTAAGATGCCTACTCTGTACCATACACAATGTAAGATGCCTTCTCTGTACCCTACACAATGTAAGATGCCTTCTCTGTACCCTACACAATGTAAGATGCCTACTCTGTACCCTACACAATGTAAGATGCCTTCTCTGCACCCTACACAATGTAAGATGTCTTCTCTGCACCCTACACAATGTAAGATGCCTTCTCTGTACCCTACACAATGTAAGATGTCTACTCTGCACCCTACACTGTGGGAGATACCTACTCTATACCCTACACTGTGGGAGATACCTACTCTATACCCTACACTGTGGGAGATACCTACTGTGCACCCTACACTGTGGGAGATACCTACTCTATACCCTACACAGAGGGAAATGCCTACTCTGTACCCTTTTGTCTACTTTTTTAACCACTGCCAGGCGATTGTGTACTTCCTGTCCTTGTTTGAATGAAAGCTCTTGTGCAATCATTCTCATTGTTTCACCACAAGTTTTGACACATATATTTAAAGCGGTTAAGCGATAAATAAAAATACAAATACATCAATAAAACCACCAGATTTGGTAAGTGGTATCAAGATTGATGCATGAAGCTGTGTATCCAGGCTCTAGGAACAGATTCATAAGAACTGAGTTTCATAAAACATAACAAAACCCTAGCTGACTCGGCTCAGATAGTGGACCAGACAATCCAGTGATTGAAATGATTAAGATTTTTTCTGTTTTTGGTATGATGACACGCATGAACCAAGTCAGACAGCCTGACCACACAGCAGCAAGTCATTGGACCCCAGGGCCAAGTCAGACAGCCTGACCACACAGCAGCAAGTCATTGGACCCCAAGGCCAAGTCAGACAGCCTGACCACACAGCAGCAAGTCATTGGACCCCAGGGCCAAGTCAGACAGCCTGACCACACAGCAGCAAGTCATTGGACCCCAGGGCCAAGATTTTCAAGCTCTCTTTGAGCTAGGATAGTCGTAAGTTAATGATAATGTACGACACTTACGACCATCTTAACACTAGGAGAGCCTCAGAAATCTAGGTCCAGGTGGGAAAGAGCATGATACTAGTCATTCACAGCTTTCAGCAATATTCCAGCAAGAGACATTCTGAAGCTGGCTTCACACTCTGTACACATCTTGGGGTTCTATCCACCACACCAATACTTATAAACCTCAAACCTCTGACCGCTGACTTAGATCACAAAAAAAAATAATTTGAAGGAAGGTGACTAAAGCTCGCTTGGCTATTCAGAAAATGTAACCAAAATGCAAGAGATTTCATTTGATCTCACCACTTCTGCTAAATGATAACTTCTGGCATTTCATCTAAAAGAATGCCAATAATTTTTCAAAAGCAGACAAAAAATAATTAGCACTTGTAATAGGTACTGAGATGACTTTCATAATTCAATTTATTGCCACAACAATGCACCTTGAATCAAAGTAATATCCAAAACATGTTTACACAGTCCTTGCTTTATTTAGAATTAATAATGGAATTGTTTTATTGACAAATATTTCCATTACTCACAAATTAAAAAAATAACTCCTAGAACATTCACTGTGAGCCACTATGATGCCCATTTTTAAGTGTATGTAAAACAATGACATTTTCTTTTATATGTATTTTGTGACTAACTTGACTGGAGCAATACATCAGATGTTTTTTTACTCACAATGCATCGGTATAAAAACCCCAAAAAGTTGCAGGCAGCTGGTCATGAATAGTTTCCTTTCCAGGAAGTTGAGTTCCGAATTTTGACTTGTCACTTTGTTTAAAGTGAATGATAACACAGGATTTTGGAAAAATGCATTATACTGGTAATATCAAAAGGAACTGTGATATGTATTCATTACCATTATAAATCTTCAAAAAATGTATACAAAACCTAAGGTTTCATAATGTTCATAACAATACTACCGCCTCCGTGGTGTAGTGGTTAAAGCATCCGCCAAGAGAGCGGAAGGTCGCAGGTTCAATCCCCGACCGTGTCATACCAAAAGACATTAAATATGGTAGTTGTTGGTCCCTGCCTGGCGCTCGGCATTAATGGGTACAAGGACTGGTCGGCCCGGAGTCAGTATAATGTGTCTGAGTGGGGTATTCATGCTTCACGGTATCTCAGTGGGCTAGCACTATAAAATCAGCTTCAGTCTGGGCTAGTACAAGCAGCCGCACATACACACACATGCACATCGTCATATGAGCGAAATATTCTCAAGCATGACATTAAACCCAATTTCACCTCACCTCATAACAATACTGCAAGAAATTGTACAATTCAAACTCCTTTCAATTCTTTAGATGCATAAAATTACTGATGAGACATGCAATCTGTAAGAACAAACTATGATTTCAATTCTTAAATAACAGATGCATATTTTGTTAAAAACTATTATTTTACGATAGATTTTTCTTTTCCTTTGATAAAAGATACATTTTTAACTAATAAATATACCATTGAAAGAGTATGATTTGTTGTTCTATCCTTGCAGTTAAATTATTGAGAACCTTCATATAAGTTCAAAATAGACCCATGAATTTGTTACACACCAGAAACCCTGGCAATCCTGTTGGCTGAGGAATACAAACACAGTCTTGTGTGGTTCACTAGGTCTCCACTCTCTGAGAACACATGCACTCCCCACACATTAGCCGTTCAGTGGAGCTGCATTGCCATCTGAAACAAAAAAGGGACACTTTAAACAATTTTTCCCATAACAGTGTCACATTACACAACACTAAAAAATCAACAGTGTTGCTTAACAGGCTTTCCCCAAATTAACAGTGTCATTGTTCACTGTTCTCTCCAAACTGTGTTGCCTAATACTACTTTTTCATCATCAACAGTGTTGCTTAATACTGCTTTGCCCTATCAACAGTCATGCCTTGAACTCTTCTAGTGCATACAAACTAACTGTTGTAAAAATGCTTTGTTGCAGCATTTATATGACATTGTTTTTCCTCTATTGTGTTCATATCTGTTTACAACCGAAAACGTGCTTCAGACCTCACAGCTGGGTAGTGTAATTAACATCCTTTTCTGGTCCCACCCAGTAGGTAGCTGGCACGGTCCAGGATGACCAGGTGCTAACCATGACAATAATCAGTGAGCATATGTGGGCTAACTTACAATGGAGTATATTGACCCGGTAGCTAGAATCAATGAACATGACACACTACTGGGGAAGAAGGATACAAAACATAACAAGTTTCGCTGTTCCAAATAAACATGTTAATAGGGAAGAACAATACATCATCAGCTACACACAATTTGTATTTTTGTTGGGTGAAGACATGGGGTGGCAAATATATTTCAATGCCATTACTTTACCTGCAGCAAAAGGGCACCATAATTGAAAAACATTTTCATTGCTCCTTTGTAATGTGAATGAGTCAGAATACAGCATCTACATTAATGGAAATCGGAATAATAAAAAAAATACCATTATCAGGGAACAGGATGATAATGTTATCTTCAATGAAAACAGATTTTACAGAGTATGTAAACACTACACATCAGTAAATCACAGTGAAAAGACCGAATCACTGATTGAGTTTGTAATCTGATCATTCAAGAGTACCACAGAACAACCCCACCAGCTTGTTCAAAGAAATCTTCATAGACCTGACAACACAGAAACATATTCGAATATCCCACATACCCATGACAAGGAGCGTGGGATAAGAACGTGTTATTTCTAAAATTACACGCATAATCACATAAACTAAAAGAAAGACGAGGAAAATTAGTCCGTGGATATTTCCTAATGCAGACAGCTAAACCAAGATGGCAGTCTGTGGCCTTGCGAGCGAGTACCTCATACAAACAACCCACACCAACTGTCAAAAAACGAATAATTTGTCCCCGTAGTTTGTAAACACATTTCGACATGAGATTTTAGTAAATATGTATCACTAGTCCACATATATAGCTCAGAAATCATGCCTTTCCTACTACTAAAATGGCGGACGTACTTCGAGTCTGCATAATTGATCAATATGAAAATATGCCGGTCTGATCGCCATTTTAGAAATATGGTGTCCACTGTTGACAGAAATAGGCGCGTTATACACCATTCTCTCGGTAATAAACGAAAATAATATATCCCGTCGACGTGATATAGCAAATATACAGAACAAGTAGTGGTAAAATTCCCTATATTGTTCGACAGTGTTTCAAAATCGTACCTTCACCTAGGTCGGCTGGCTCGCAATACGTATTAGCTGTCAGATGACTTTCCTGCAAGATTATGCGAAATCAGCAAATCCACCCGTACCCACAAGGCGCACACTGGTAGTATAGCATCTACTACTATGTATGTCCAAGCCACAAGAGATATGCAATACCAGATCAAGGTAATTTACCCTACTTCCAACCCGGAATACACATCGAATGTGCCATTTGCATAGAGCTGAGGCGAGAGAGCAATGGAGACGAGACGGAACAAAGACGGCAAAAATGGTTTGAGTGCTAGTTTTATCTGCAATCGGACTTCTTACTTACCTCAGTATGCACAGACTCACAATATTATCCACCGACCAGTCATACAGACCCCGATATTCTTCCCTTTTCACTACATAAATCGGACGCTTTTTTGCTTAAACACTGTCTTCGCATGAACGGTAAGGGTGCGGCGCCCGTGATAACAAAGATGGTAACCCCGTAGCCGACGAAGCGCATGCGCACTACCGAGCTAGTGACGCCTTATTAATTATCATGCGAATGTAATATATTCTTTGGCGAGAGGCTAATGCATGTATCGACGAACACAGGCTGACATGTCGTAATGCAAAGAGCATATATTTCGGAGACATAATTAAAATTTGACGAACCCCGACAATTGAATTGGGCGATAGGCGCATGTATTTTACAAGGGAGCATAGAATAATTTATCTGCTTGTGCCAAATGTGGGACGAACAAGATTGGTCATATGATATCGATTGGTTTCTATAGCAACCTTTAACGATCTTAGAGTTTTTGAGATATAATTGCAGTATTGTAACAACATGCATGTTATGAGATTATCATATTCATTATTTATATAATTTGCTTCTCAGATTTTACAAGATTTTGTTGACTTAAAAACAATAAGAATACATTCAAGTACTGATATATTTACAAAGATGGTCACGCCAATGAACACATTTACTTATTTGTCTTAGATTTTGAATGATTTGAGTCATCGTTACATAACAGGTCCATACTTTATAGCGGAGTAAATTATATACGCGTATTTCATATCCAGCTTTCAGTGTTTCCGTCTGTCCGTCCGGTTCTCTTCCAAAACAGAACTCCGGAGAAAAACATATTCCTATGAAAATAATTTGCAATCATCAAGAGATAGCTGCATTTCTATTTCCCCTTTTAAACATTATTTATCATCTGTTTTAAACAATTTGGATTTACACTCAGTTGGGAATGTGTATCGTACCTCAGGAGCAGATCTCAAAATGTGTACAAGGTGTCATGAAACTTGGCACAACAGTGAACTAAATGTTCAACTGAAGCCCTTTGCTATATTTATCATATTTATCAAGATGTTTTGAGATGCTGTTAATTACATTGTCATAAAGTCTTGGAAGCAAATTCGTCTTACTTTGTTAGATGTTGCTTCTGCTTGTGTTGTGCTTTAACTGTTGGGTGAGTTGCAAAACTCGGGAATAACTTCATTCAAAAAGATTTAAGGTTGACTTTCAGGTACGTGTTAATATCTTAAAGTATTTATTCTCGGATTATTAAGGGCGATGAAGTAGCCTAATGGTTAAAGCGCCCGACACATCCTGTGTCCCCCACCGTGATGTTGCTGAAATATTGCGAAAGGCGGCGTGAAACTTGACTCACTCAATCACCTCTGATTATTGAAGTGATCTTTTCTGTTTGGTCCTTTCTACTGGCTGACATTATATGTCATATTCAGTAAGACATGCTTTTATATGTGACTTTAGGGAAAACTCCATTCTTTACACCCACTCCGTCCTTAAACAAGTTCAAGATGCACAACTCTTGTTTCATGAAGTTGATCAAAACTTAACTCCTTAATCTCCATGACATCTGCAATACCCAGTACAAGATATTACCTGGCTAACCTGCACACACATGACTGATGTCGCTCTGTTGGCGTATATCGCGTGCAGGACAACGTTGTATAGCCACGCATGGGTGCCCATCCGCTCGGAACGACCCCAAGACTGTGTCAAATTACTCTTTCCCTGACCGCTGATCTTGATGACATTTCATAATGTGATGTTAAACATCAGTAATTCATTGGTTGTTATCTACAGCCCCACTGAAGCAAACACAGCTTTGTATTTCAACGTTGATATCAGCGTCTTGTTGTGCAGCTCAGTGGCATGTTGTCTGCATAAATACATGCATCTATCATTTGTTGTATAATATGTCTCATTTCTTGCTTACATGTATACTCATGCCAATAATGGTTGTCACCCCCCTCGCCACACCCCCACCCCCCACACACACACACACCTCACACCCCCAACCCACACCCCCTCTCCAATTAAAAACATTGAAGGGGGTGACAACCATTATCGGCATGAGTATATTATTTGATCGATACATACTTGTATTTTGTCTTCTATACGTAATGCATATGTCCATTTGTTGTTGTACACACGAACAATACATCCGTGCATGTGTTCCTTGAAGACAAACATATATTTGATTTATACATATAAGCATTATTTGTGTTATACATACCTCTGGGGCGGTAGGGTAGCTAGTAGTTAAAAGCGTTCGCTCGTCACGCCGAAGACCCGGGTTCGATTCCCCACATGGGTACAATGTGTGAAGCCCATTTCTGGTGTCCCCCGCCGTAATATTGCCGGAATATTGCTAAAAGCGGCGTTAAACTAAACTCACTCACTATACATACCTATACACACACAGACACACGCACGCGCACGTACGCACACACACACACACATACATTCGTACATACATACCAGACACACACATACATACATACATACATACATACATACATACATACATACATACATACATACATACATACATACATACATACATACACACACATATACATACATACACACACAGACACATACATACATACATACATACATACATACATACATACATACATACATACATACATACATACATACATACATACATACATACATACATACATACATAAACTCTATATTAGCATGTCCTCTGTACAATGAGTATCGTGTTAGATATTTTCCTGAATACTGTCGTAATTACCCTCGTGTTCAAACGTTTATTGAATTGATGAGAACAAGTGATAAGAAAAGACTCTTAAAACTATCTTTCTTAAAAAGTGTTTGTACTTCGACCGAAACAAAGAAATCACCGTGAACACATAATCATATCTACTGATGGGGTGAGAATGGAGTGAGATCTATATTCTCAGTGTGGAGCGTATGTATGTTGTTCTCTAATTGTTACACATGTTGTACTGCTGGCCTCATGATCGTCTATAGGTAATAAATGTTGATGACAAGATGATAAACAAGGGAAACAAGACCTTCACTGTTAAATGTGGCATGGGATATTGGACATTACTATATACCCATGTAAACTTAGGATAGTCATACAGGGGTGCAATACGGATGACGTGGTCAAGTTCCGTATTGCAACCCAGATTCCGTACTGAACCCCTGCCGGTTCTGCCTGTCTTGTTTTATTAAGTAACAGATTAATGCAAGATAAGAGGGTATATAATAAATATAGAACGTCATACTAGTGCATTTGGATGTGTTGTATTGAACGAGAAGATGTCCTGGGAGCAGAGAAACAACGGGTTCGAAGCGAAGACAATGAAAAATGTTATACAGTTAACAACTGTAATGGTTAAGTTTACAAATGAAGACAAATTACTCCAAAGTGATTACAATACAATATAGACACAGTTAACGGCTCCACAGTAAGCCTATGCTGGATATATCCAGAGTGGATAGTAGATCTTCACACGACCGCTGGTGTAGTAATGCAAAAACAAGTGTACACTTGGAAACTGTATTTGAACAAAACATTGCAATTGTTTACAAAATATTACAAGGCTGATAACAGAACCACGGCAAAGGTAAGGTCCAAAACACCTTTTCCACCAAGTTTTCCTATTCCTGAGAGTATTCCATTTTGTGCTGCGGCAACACCCAACGATGTGCCTCTATAGAAGAGCCAAGGACACGTCCCTGTACGCGATCCAACACAGTCACGGACGATTTGTTTTCAGAGAGAGGTCTTGGGTGACACATATCAAAATGTCATATACCATCAACCGTGCCAAACATGTAGATAAGACTTCGGGGAAGCCAGCCGTCAGAGTGAGTGAGTGTATCAATCGGCGACACAATGCTCCTAGGACAAAGTTTGAGCCTTTGCATAATCAACGCACAAAGATTTACCTGGGGTCCGTTGCACAAAATGTCATCATAGCAGAATGTCTGTACAGAAGCAAATGGTCGTGGCCGAGGCACGCGTAGGTTCAGCCGGTAACTTACATATAGATCCTCTGTTTGAAGTGAGTGCATGAGTGAGTATGGGTTTACGCCGCTTTTAGCAACATTCCAGCAACATCACGGCGGGGGACACCAGAAATGGGCTTCACACATTGTTCCCATGTGGAGAATCGAACCTGGGTCTTCGGGGTGACGAGCGAACGCTTTAACCACTAGGTTACCCCACCGCCTCCTGTTTGAAGTGATGCATGTGTAAGTTTGTCCACAATTTACATAATCCTCCAGATGTCTTGTTGAAAGTGATGCATACGAGGATCTGACCTCGATATCCTGCTTGAAACTTTGGTTTAATCGACAATTAACTAACACAGATTCCCAGAAATGACATACGCGTTAGTTTAACCAACAAATTGCATAGATTCCCTGGTTGAAAAAACATACCTGTTGGTTTAACTGACAACTTACATAGATTCCCTGGTTGAAATGACAAAAGGGTTGGTTTAACTGACGGCTTGCATAGATTCCCAGATTGAAATGACATTCCCGTTGGTTTAACTGGCAACTTACACACATTCCTTGATTGAAATGACAAAGGAGTTGGTTTAAACCACAACTTAGACACATTCCCTGATTGGAATGACAAACGTGTTGGTACTGACAACTACAATAGGTTCCCTGTTTGAAGTGTTGATTTCTTGAAACTGTGTATGTATAGCAATAGCCTTAAACGTGAGCAACAGATCCGTACGTGCAACCACACCTGCGTGGAATTCACTCAGTATTATTTTGGAGTTTAATGTTGAAGTAATAAGAAATAGAACAGATCAACACAAAAAAGGCACATGATGAAATATGGCCTACCTTCATGTAAGCGTGTCACAAATTCACATTTTCTCGAACAAGAAGCCCTATATCCAGGCGCGAGTACGTGTCTAGTTGAGCGTGTGGATGTTTCTTCAGAACAGGTCGCTGTGGAGTGTGCTCCCGACCAGACTGACCATGTATAGCTCAAAGATATTGAGTTGAGGCGAGGGCCTTTCGAGTCTCCTAATCCATGTATCAATACTGGCTGACGGTAATTACCTACATGGTAAGTACATTGGGTGTAATCACTTGACTACTCATGTTCATACCATCCCCGGATACCATAGAATCTATCATCTCCGACAACATCGATTAACTCGCTTTGATTGCCAG